GGGATTTTTCCCAAGCAACCTTTTTCTATTGAGATTCGGTACCAGCGTGTACTTCTGGCGGACAGTTTTCCACCCACCAGCCCCTTTGTTCTTCGAGGGCAGTTTCGGCGGGCACTTTAGGTCCCGCCGGAACCGCCCACTGGTACGTCATGGGATTTCGGCGGGACCTTTTGTACCCGTCCAAACCGCCCACTGGTACGTTTCGTTGATTCCTTGATTTGTTGTTCCCCTTGCGTTTGTGAGTATTTATTGATGTTTCATAAGTCTAGAGCGGCGTATTATGAATCCAATGGTTAGAATTTGGAGTCTTGAATCGTGATTAATGTCCAATATTGCTATTCGTTGGATTATTTGATGAAGTCTATGATGTTCGTATGAAGCCTTGTGATTACTCTTTGACTTGTGTATTAACATGTTGTTTCTTGATGCTAGTATGATTCCTTGTGATAGCCTTTGCTTGATTCTTGATTGAGTTGATAACTTGAGCTTATCTATTCGTTATAACACTTTGATTGGTGTCCTTCGTTGTTGAGTCATTACCTTTGGAATACCCTTCTTGTATTTCTCTCTCGATATACACTTAAGGACTTAGGGCCGCCTCCAAGGGTCTTTGACCCCGCAAAACCATGTTTGTATCCTGTTGAATCATTGCGATGACTCCGCGGAATCTATGTTTTGAGATGGTGGTTTACCACAATCAGGTCGTTGCGATGACCTCGCGTGCATCTCTCATTCTCTTGTGTTACTTGCTGACTTTGAGCCCTCCACACTGATTCAACATTTGATTCGAACTAATAAATCCAACACTCCCAAATCCTCAAAAACACAATAATAGATCAACAATAATTCACTAATAGCTCAACTACAACAATAATCTAACATTCCTAGGCATTTACACCTCAAACTAGACTTCATAGAGTCAAATAAATAGAGTTGGGAGTCCATGTGTTATACCTTTGATGCCTCTTCTTCCTTGTGTGGATCTCAGCCTCCTCTCCACTCAAATTCCACCACTTCCTGCATCTCTCATTCTCTTGTGTTACATGCTGACTTTGAGCCCTCCACACTGATTCAACATTTGATTCGAGTCATTGGGATTGACTCTGCGATATATACTTGTTGATTGTGTCCTTTGTGGACTTGATATATTGATATTGATGATTGATTGCATAACCTTGATGAGAACTATCCTTGTTGCTTGTTACGATTGTCTTACCTTGATCTTTATTCTTGATCCTTTATCATTATCTCGTTGATTCAGTCTATTCTGTTGATCTTGTGGTCTATTCTGTACCGTTGAGTATATCTATTGTATGGTTTGGTCTTGAGTCCATTCCTCGTGATTTTACTAATTAGAGTTGATTAGAGATATACCTACGTATTCCCAAGTCTCAAAACTATTTTAAGTATGAAACGTATATCTATGTATCTTTACACATTGGAGTGGGGTTACTTAACATTATCGCTAACGGTTATTTAAAATGATTTCAGGTACAGATTAAGCAGTTCAAAAGCGCGCTAGTTGGAGCCTACTACCTAGTCTTAGCATTTTTCCCTTTTAGTACTTAGACGTTTGGCCTGTGAGCCCTTTGAATATTGATAACTGTTGAATGTTTAGTTCTAGTTTAACCTGTGCATCTAGGTTTGGTGGCTTAGACGTGGCATAACACTCCCTTACTTTGTTGTTAAGCTTCCGCAATACGTTTTGATTATTATCAGCTAGACTCTTCTATCTAAATCTCTTAAGTTTTAATTGTTTAAAAGTATGCCTAGTTTTCGGGGTGTTACATTTGGTATCAGAGCCTAGGGTGGAGCCTAGGATAGTGCTTTAAGAATGTGATATTTAGACATTAAGTGAATACCCTAAGTGCTTAAGTATCTAAGTTATAGGATTCTTAGTTTGCGCGGTGAGATTGTGAGTTTACTTATTGCTTTCTGTTGTGTTTCTCATGTTTTATCCTTCTTTAGCTTTGGTTCGTTAAGTTAAGTCACCAGGTAAGGGTGCTAAATGTTAAGCTTATCTCTGTAACCGGTGCTTCTTCTGTAGAATCCTAGTATGGCTCTGCCAAGACATCGGGTAGGAACCCCGGAGACGCCGACCAACGAACAGTTAGCTCAGAATTTGCAGCAATTGACTCAAATCACCTAGACGTTGAGTAATGTTCTCCTCAACAACAACAACAACCAGCACAAGAATAAGGATGTAGCGCATCAGGTGTCGGGGCATCGACCACCGGTGGATTCGGACCCTCGACAAGATTTTTGAGGTGGTGGATTGTGACAACCCAAAATTTAATTTTCTAAATTCGGTTTTAAGAAATTCCAAAATAGCCATTTTTCACTCTTCTAAAAATTTTATTTTGAAAGCGGTGCTTGAATTAATTATTTTGAATTACGTTTTTAAATAAAGTCGGTACTGAGATTTATTCTATTTCAAAAATCCTAAATTCTCGGGTACATTGTGTACCAAAATTTTGACCCAAAAGTCAATATGAGTGAAACCGAAAGAAATCTGATAAACCTGAACCAAGTGTTTATATAGAAATCATTTTTGGAAAAATGTATTTTGACCCAAAACTATTTAAAATCTCCTTTTAGTCTATGGTTCATGATGCAATGTGGACCAAAAGCCTCCAACCTTTGTTTGACCTTTTGAGCTCAAGCCTATAATTTCCATTTTACCCTCAACCAAGCATAGCAGAATCTCCTAGGGTTTTGCACCCTATAAAACCCACATTATTCACTCCTCATTCCCTGATCTCATTCCCTTACCTCTCCAAACTTTGTCTGATAGAAGAGAACAACATTCACAGTAAGCTTCATCCTTCATCTTTCATTTCTTCACTTTGTTTCTAGTGTTGTTCCTTTGGCCTCCATTCTATGAGATTCTTAGGCTTAGTTTGTGTTGTTGTTTGGGGTGTTTCGGTGGTGAAGGAAGTGGTGGAATTTGAGTGGAGAGAAGGCTGTGATCCACACAAGGAAGAAGAGGCAACAAAGGTATAACCCATGGACTCCCAACTCTATTTATTTGACTCTATGAAGTCTAGTTTGAGGTGTAAATGCCTAGGAATGTTAGATTATTGTTGTAGTTGAGCTATTAGTGAATTATTGTTGATCTATTATTGTGTTTTTGAGGATTTGGGAGTGTTGGATTGCTCTGAGTTTGTTGTAGGTGAAGAAGGAACCCCCTGGTGCACATTGTCTGTGCACCAGACAGGTTCACGGAACTAGCCAACGGTCCTAGTCAGGGACCGCTGGCTAGGGGTGTGCATAACCCGAAACCCGACGGGTGAGCCTGTGGAGAGTCCGTATCCGAAGACCATATGCGACCCGAGGCTACGTTATAAGACGGATGAAGAAGGTTCGGGTTGGAGGCAATAAACGCCACCCGAACCCGTCCGAATATCCGACATAACCTAGGGTTTTTTTACCCTATGTAATACGACGTCGTTTGGTTTATATATATATTACACATTTCATTCAGCGCAGCCGAGCTCCCATTTCAGTCTTTCGCTCTGTACCTCTGGTCTTCTAGACTTTTCTCAATCTCTCATCTCTCGTTCTCTCTTTCGCTCTGGTCTTTGATTCTTACTCTCTAAGACTCTGAGTTCTCACTTCTCAAATCTCAATTCTCTCAGTCTAATTCTCTCAGTCTGTTAGACACTCACAATTGTAGTCTGGTGGAAGCCCTAGTCAGAGACTCGGAGTAGCGACTAGTCTGGTGGACTGGTGAAAGCCCTAGACCCTAGTCCGGTCACCGGACTCCGGTGGAACTGTGGAATGCTGGAATAGTGGAATCGAAGCCCTTTGTTCTCGAGGGATAGATTTTGAGAAACGAAGTAATTACTAAACCCTATTTACATTTTTGTTATAGATTATTGTCTATTTGTCTTATTGATTAGGGTTTCTAATTTGTTATGATTATGTGGACTGTGATACTTGTCAATCTGTTGAGAAGTCCCGGATTGCATGTCACTAGTCCTTTGAGTATGAATTTCTGAATTCTGTGATTAGGGTTTCTAATTTGTAACCTAATATGTGGACTGTTATACTTGTCAATCTGTTGAGAAGTTCCAGATTGTAGGTCACTAGTTCTTTGAGTATGAATTTCTGAATTCAGTGATTAGGGTTTCTAATTTGTAACCTAATCTGTGGTGGAAGCCATACTGCCCTAACCCCTAGCCACTATGGAAATGTGTGTGAAATACTGAAATCCATATAAATGTTAAGCATGCTGGTATTCTTGTGGAATCCATATAAATGTGGGAGTGTGTCATGCACTCATGTGTGACTGAAATCCATATAAATGATGAGCATATAAAGTAGCATACATCTACTTAGCTTGAATGCCTGATTATGGATTTCATTGTAAATTGTAATTTGTACGTTGTAAGTTGTAACTGTGAAATTGTAAATTTGTAAGTTTATGGATATGTGACCCTTAAATCATTTATATGCAATTCTGCATACATGATGAAATGTTCAATTAATTGAATTTTGCCTGTTTAAGACTTTAATTAATTGATACATGTGACAAAGCCCATTCACAGTTGATGATTTTCCATGAGTGATTTCCCATTCTCTGTCACTGATACTTTCCCCTTTTTAGATGGAAAGTGTTAGTGGTCTTACTGGTGTATCTAGAACCCAACCTGAGTTGGAAGCACCAGTTGAAGAGACTGTTACTCCTCAGTCTCAGCAGCCTTTGCCTCCACCTATTCCAAAGAAAAGGAAAGAGGTTGAAACCAGATCTCCATGTTGGGATCACTTTGAAAAGATCAAAGACACTGAGGGCATTGTCATCCAAGGAAAATGTATATATTGTGCAAAAGTTTATGCATGTGAGACCAAGAAACATGGGACTTCTTCTCTAAGGAATCACATAAAAAGCTGCCTTAAAAATCCTCACTCTATGGAGACAAGGCAGTCCCTACTTACATTACAACCTGCACCTTCTTCTGCTGGAACTCAAAGTAGTGAAGGAACTGAAGGGAGCTGAGATGATTATTTTAGATGAACTTCCTTTTAGGATTGTTGAGGGACATGGTTTTAGAAAGTTTGTTTTAGTTTGCTGTCCTAGGTTTAAAATCCCTTCAAGATGGACTATCAGTAGGGACATTTTCAAGATATTTTCTGATGAGAGGGTGAACTTGAAGAAGTTTTTTAGGACTAGCAGTCAGAGGGTAAGTATCACAACTGATACTTGGACCTCAGTCCAGAGAATAAACTACATGTGCATAACTGCACATTTCATTGATAGTGAGTGGAAGCTGCAAAAGAAAATCATTTCATTTGTTCCTATATATTCCCACAAGGGGGAAAGTATTGCAAAGGCTTTAGAGAGTTGCCTTTTGGACTGGGGTCTAAAATCAGTGTTTAGTGTGACAGTAGATAATGCTTCCAGCAATGACACTGCCCTAGGATTCTTGAAGAAGAAGTTGGTCTCTTGGGATTGTACTGCTGTTAGGTGTAAGTATTTGCACATGAGGTGCATTGCTCACATCCTTAACTTGGTGGTACAGGATGGGTTGAAAGAATGTGACAGTTCTGTTAAGAAAGTCAGGGATGCTGTTAGGTATGTGAGGAGCTCACCTGCTAGGTTGCAGAAGTTTAAATCACTAGCTGATCTAATTGGGGTGGAAGCTAAGAATTCTCTGTGTCTAGATGTCCCTACAAGGTGGAATTCCACATATATGATGCTTAATACTGCATTATTGTTTCAGAAGGTATTTGAAGCCTATGATGATCATGACAGTTCATTTAAATCTGATTTGGGTGGAAGTGTACCTGATTTCTTGGATTGGGAATCCATTCAATCTTTGGTTATGATTCTGAAATCTTTTTATGAAATGACTGTTAGGATTTCTGGTTCATTGTATGTGACTTCTAATACCTCCTTCTCTAAGATTTCTGATTTGTCTTGCTTATTGAAAAATATGAAGGAAGCTACAGAAGATAGTGTTAAACTGATGGGTAAAAATATGAGGGCAAAATTTGATAAGTATTGGGGTGAGCCTGAAAAAATGAATTTTTTGATATTTTATGCAAATATCTTAGACCCCAGGGACAAAATTGAGTATATGCCCATTCAGTTTAACCAGTTATATGGTGAGGACAAGGGTAAAACAATGTTTGATAAGGTTATTGTTGGCCTTAAGGAGTTGTTTGAAGATTATGTTGCATGCTTCCCTGTCCAGTCTGTTGAACAATCTGACAAATCTTCTCCCTCAATAACAATATCTGATTATGTTTCTGTTGGGAGACCTCAATCATTACTGAAATCTCAGATTAAGAAGCAAAAATTGGTGAGTGGGGATTTGTCTAGGTAAAAAACTGAGTTGGAAGTGTATCTCTCTGAGGTTATTGTAGATGAGGATGATTATTTTGACCTTCTAAGATGGTGGAAGCAGCAATCTGAAAGGTTCCCTGTCTTATCTAAAATGGGAAGGGATATTCTAGTTGTTCCAATATCAACTGTTGCTTCAGAATCAGCATTCAGTATAAGTGGAAGGGTACTTGATGCCTTTAGGAGTTTCCTAACTCCTAGAATTGTTGAGGCATTGGTGTGTGCACAAGATTGGCTAAGGTTAACTCAACCTATCTCTATTGAAGAAAATATTGATGATGTTGAAAGGATTGAGAAAGGTATATACTTCTAACTTCCATTTTGTATCTGTTTAATTGTTTATAAACTATATTAACTATTAACTATCTGTTTAAGTTTTAATTTCCATTTTGTATTTGTACTGCAGAGTTGTGCAGCACATCCAGCACTGGAGTTGGATCTTCAGTGCCTACAATTCTTGTATGTTTACAGTTTACATATTTATTTTTCTTTTATAAATTCTTATTCTGAATTTGTGATTACTTATTTGATTTCATGATAAATTAATGCCTCTATGTATCAGTGTATCATGTATGTGTATCAAATTATCAATGATTCAAATCAATGTCCCTCATGAGGCTGGGAAGTGGGAACTGGAACTGGAAAGTGCTCATGGCTAGGTGACATTTTAAATGTTGCTGCCATTGAGCTAGGGTATCAGTATAAGTATTGACTAAATGTGACTTGTGACTTCTGACTTCTGACTCACTATACTTATAAGTGTATAACTATTCATTATTGTGCAATGATGATGCTTCCACCATGTTCTCTGAATATATAGAATTGGGTTTGGTATGTTGCCTATGAAGTGTGGTGTTTATGCCATACTCATTGAGTAGTGTTCCCCCAATCCTAACTTGATATGGAAAAAAAACTATCTGAGCACTCTTTTAGTCTTTTACAGTTTAAATATAATCCATTAATTGTTCCAGTATAAGTATTATTGTGCAATGATGATGCTTCCACCATGTTCTCTGAATATATAGAATTGGGTTTGGTATGTTGCCTATGAAGTGTGGTGTTTATGCCATACTCATTGAGTAGTGTGCCCCCAATCCTAACTTGATATGGAAAAAAAGCTATCTGAGCACTCTTTTAGTCTTTGACAGTTTGTGTCAATCTATTGTTCCAATATTGAATAGCAGTAAGTTATGAAATGTTTTGAACTTATTGTGTTTTTATGTCTTCACTTATCAGGAAGAAGAATAGACTAATAGAGACATAGAGTACTCAATATTATATAAATCATATATTCATATATTAGTTTTGGAGTTTTGGATTTCTGGTTTTCTTTTGCTCAATGGCTGAAACTTGAAAGCTGAATGCTGATGTGCTGATTGGAGAATGATGCTGCTGCATGCTTGCCTGCTTGGAGATTGGAGAATGATGCTGATTGCTGAATTGTTGATTGTTATATTTTGCTATGAAGAATTGAACTTCTCATTATAAGTTTTAAATTTGTAAGCTAATCTGTAAATTTGTATGTTTTGAAGTTTCAGTTCTAGCTTCTAACTTGTAATTTTGTTAATTTGATTATATGTTTAAAGTTTTATAAGTTTACTTATGTTATTTTTGTTGTTAAGTAGTTACTAATTACTAGTTAGGGGCTTATAGTACTTAAGTAGTTAATTAGTTAAGTGTTCCATGAATTGATTATTTGATTTGTACATTGTTAAAAAACTGAAATACCAACCGGATATCCGACCGATCCGATCCTACCCTAACAACCAAATAACCGAACGGATAAGTCAACAAAATAAAACGGATAGGGTAGTCAAAATCGATATCCGAAATCCGATCGGAGGACACCATCCGCCACCCGATCCGTCCGATTACACACCCCTACTGCTGGCTAGTCCCGTGGAGAGCCGACCCTTGGGCACGGATCTCAAATAGATTCATTGCCTAAGGCCGCCACTTGGCATAGCCAAGTGGCGGGGCTCCTCAAGCCCCGCCAGGCCAATTTGATTACTGGCCGGGCCCACTGTGGCTCAGCTACGTGTCGTTCGGATCAGGACTCGTGGGCCCTTGAGGCTCGGACACTCGGGTTCGTTACGACGCACTAGTAGAAGTTGATTTCGTTGAATTTGGAGTTGAAATACTTGTTTTACAGTAGAAATTGTGCTAAGGTTTATTCTTGTTGTTTACTATAATTGATTTACAGAGAAGGAAAATTATAAATTGTTGAGTTTAGCTATTTGAATGAGAAGTATGATCATTATTTGATAAGTTTTGCTTGTATAGCAAGCCTAAGTATTTGTTATGATTTATTTGAGAAGCATGCCAAGAATGTGAGAATTTGAGATATCTAGTGTTTGATTTCTTAGGTTTTTTTTTAGTAAATGGAATTCGCAAGAGTATAAAATTTATCTTGAGTTTAAAGAGCATGATCAGTACTTGTTAAGTATTTGATAAGAAGTTTTGCAAAGTATTGAGTTATAAGCATGAAGTAGCATTTTGTTTCCTTGATTCATAGTGAAAGAGCATTTGAGATTACTTTTAGGGGCCGTTTGGTTCACAGAATGTTAGATTACTGGGAATGATAGATTCCTTTGTTTGGTTAAAATTGAGGTATGTAATATAATCATGTTTGGTTTAGGGTTATCTATATATATATATATATATATATATATATATATATATATATATATATATATATATATATAGAGAGAGAGAGAGAGAGAGAGAGAGAGAGAGAGAGAGAGAGGAAGCTTCAAGTGCGGCGGTGCTATTAGGTGCGGCGATGCGGTCAATTGTAGGCCATTAGATTAGATAAATCCAATGAATCACATTCGTCAGGGCTTCTCCAATATTTTCGCGCACGTTCTCACTCTACGCGAACTGCAAGGCTAAAGTCGTCACTGGGCACCAGAAGAGGGAAAATCATAGTGTTCTCATGTGTTTTATGTTCGTTATTGGTGCATTATTAACCTTACTCGGGTGTATTTGTGGATTCGTGTTGGTGCCTTCCTGTGCGGTCATTGCGACCGCACTAATAGTTATACAAATATACACCATCCATGTTAGAAAACGCACACAAAAAAAACATGCACAAATTCGGTACGCATCACCAGGACACACCATTAGGTATGTATAAAAGCACCACACAGTGTTTGGAAATACACCATTGGGGTGGTGAGTTATATGGTGTATTTTTTGGGTGTGTTGTGTGTTATTTTGGTGTATTTGTGCATTTCATTGTTGTGCTTTTCCTAACACTATTAGTGTCTTTTAATAACACTGTTGGTGTATTTTGTTAACACGGTTGGTGTATTCTGTTAAACGACCAATATAAATGACCACTATAATTACCATAATACCCCCACTTACCAAGACGCGCTTAAATCTTCAAATCTTCAGAAATTAGTCGCGACCTCAGATTAAGCAAAATGGACGATGCTGATATGAGTGCACCGCCGCATCTAAGGACCCTGCCGCATATGAGTCTTATTATATATATATATATATATATATATATATATATATATATATATATATATATATATATATATATATATATATATATATATATATATATATATATATATATATATATATATATATATATATGATATGAACCTAGTCCAAGGCTCAAATAAAGATGGAATATTGTCCCAAGAATGCTCTCAATGTGAAGATAGAGATGGATCAAAATACCTTAAACCTCACGAGAAACCCTTTGTCTCGAATCCTCAAAGACTTGGAAGAATCTCATGTAGCTTCAAGTACCTCGATGTTGCAATCTTCAATCAACTAGAGTCGGATCTAGTTTCCTTCGATTAAAGAACGAGTCCACGAACCTAAATCTAAGGTTGAAGAAAGTAAGATTGATTCGAGTCCACGAATCAATTTGCTAGTCGAGTCCACGACTAGCCACTAATTGAGTCCACAATTAGCCATAAGGTTTCTTACACAAGTGTAAAGAAAAACTTAAGAATTTTATTGAATTAAAGCCTCCTCAAAACTGATATGGATGTGCCCTATTTATAGGTATAGGGCAGCATTGTAATCTAAATACAATGGGAAAAAGAGTCCTAAACCTAATCTAGAAAACAAGTAAATAGAGTTTTATTTAGAATAAGGAATCCTTTCTAAATACAACTAGTGTTTTCTCTTTAATTCTAAACAATTTAAAATAAATGATGACCACAAATAATAAAGCTGATTTGGGCCTCGGATCTTGTGATTGGCCCAATTTGTAATCTTAATGGATCTTCATTATGTTGGGCCGCATCATCCTCCCCTTCTTGAAAAATGATTCGACCTCGAATCTTATAAACATTGTCTTCGATCCCTGACATCACTTGAAACGGGCCACTATAATACTTTCCTCTATCGAATGGAATTATTATTGGAATTCCTTGATTTTTCCACCAATGATGCTTTAAGGATGTACTTTTTGGCCTTGTGATGAGCCCACTATAGACCCTTATTGGATTCCATGTGTGCTGGTTCCTATTATTCTCCCATTCTTGAAAAGGATTCGTCCTCGAATCCAAATCTTCAATGAAAGACCAAGTAGCAAGCTCACTTTCTGTTTTATCACGCTCATGGAACTTTTTCTTGGGGTGCTTGACACGAGTCGCTCCAATCATCATCCTACAATCAACAAGTAAGGCAATTAAGTCTAATGACACATCATGGAATTTAAACATTCTGGATAGTAATAGATCAGCAAAACGAGACATATTAAATTTAGCCATCTTTTTTGAATTTTCAACAAGCACAACATCTTTCCTTCTAGAGCTTAAGGCTAAACCAAACACAAAATCCATGGAAATATCAAGTAATGTTTTAGATGTATTGTGGTGGTAAGTAGCACAATTATGAACATAAGATTCTACATCTTTTTTCTTCTTTGGCCAATGAAAATATCCATGCAAAACATCATCACTCTTTGGAAAACCAAAGTGTCCTTTATGTGAATCAACAATTAAACCATTGCCCAAAACAAAGCAAAAAGTGCAAATCCCATTGACTTTGAACCAAAACCCCTTGAGCAAGTAGTGTTTCACATAAGAAGTTTTCAAATGTGCCTTATAACTTTCCAGTGATTCCTTATCTCTATCAAACAAAGTTTTAGTAAAATCAAAATTAAGGAATCTTGGATGTATGGAGGCAAACAAATTTCTAACACATCTAGCAAGTACGTCATTAATAGAAACATGGCAAAGAAATCTAGAGAATAATAATGCATGCTTTTGGAATAAAAGTGAGTATAAAGTGACTCCCCTTCCTTTCTCTTGCATACTATCCTTTTTAGTTACCAAGAGATGTTGCACTTTGACACCTTAGGCTGGTCCTTTCCACTGTATCACTGATTGTGGTCCCTTTGTTTGGCTACAAACTGAGTTAGAGGATTGGAGTGGTGATTGCAATTCCAAACATGGAGGTTCCACTTTTCTCTCTATGATTTCTTCATTCTTTGAGGCTGGTTTGAGAGCTTGCATCAATGTCAATCGAATTTCTTCTACTTGTTTAGGATACAAACGAGACAAGAAATATGTAACTCCATTCATGTGAAACACATAAGTGTTCCTCATTCCATCAGAACTTATTTTTCTGTCAAATTGCAATGGTCTACCTAACAAGATATGAGCAGCCTGCATTGGGATATTATCACACAAGATTTCATCAGAGTAACTGTTAATAGATAAAGGAATAAGATCCTGTTTGGTTACTCTAGCTTCTCCTACATCAGTTAACCATTGCAAACAATAAGGATTTGGATGATTAAGCAAAGGTAACTGGGGAAATTTAACCATAGCTGCACTAGCCACATTTGTGCAACTTCTAGAATCTATTACCATAGCACAAGCATTCTCTTTAATTGACCCTTTAGTACAAAATATATTTTCTCTTTGAGACTCATCTTCTTTTAAAGGGTGAACATTCAAAACCTCCTTAACAACAACAGTATGACTAGACTCACTAGCAACATATTTAGAATCAGAATCTAAAGGTATGAATGGTTCTCCCTCAACATGTTCATTGAGAGTTTCAAAATGGTCACATACCTCATCCTTAGACTTATATTCAAGACAAGAAGCAAAATTTTCAGATTGTTTTGTTATCTTAACTACCCTTTTGTTAGGGCAATCACGAGCTATGTGGCCTCTCCCTTTACATCTATAACAAATCAATTCTCTATCATGTTGAGGCCTCACTGCCTCACTTACCTTTTCCTTACCTTTTTCTTGTGAATCATCTCTTGGAGGGGGATGTTCATCACGCCTTTTAGGGGTGGAACTTGTGTTGTTCCATCTTGATGCACCATTGTTGGACTTGTACAATTTCATCTCTTTGATTTTTGCCTCAGATTCACGTGCAGCATACAAGGCATCATAAAGGGTGTCATATCTCTGAATACTCATTCCACATCGAATTTCTAAGTTCAATCCATGTACGAAACGAGCAACAGTTTTTGTCTCTTCTTCATGTATGTCTCCCTGTTTAAGCAAAATATTTGTAGTTTGGTAGTACTCATCAACTGACTTTTTTCCTTGCACCGTTCCCTGCAATTTTCTTTCAAGATCATAGAAAAAAGATTTAGGAGAAAAAAGATTTAGGACGAAAAGTTAAGCGCATATCTTCCCTCACTTGAACCCAAGATTCATAGGGAATCACTAGTACAAAATAGAGTAAAGAAATATCAATTTAGACTACCCTTCTTTAAACAAGGGTAGTGTATTCTTTAAAAAAAACAGGACGGTGGCATAATTGTAAATAAATGAATAAGAAACCGCTACCCTTTTAAATAAAAAGGTAGCGGTTTTTTTTTTTTTTAAAAAGCGGAAGGACTCTCCTCTACCCTTTCTAAAGAAAGGGCAGCGAAAACCAGATCGGGAAACAAAAAAAAAATAAAAAAACAAAAAAAAAAACCCCAAACGCCCCTTCACAAACCAGATCTCGCTCTCACATCTCCAACCCTCAACGCCCCTTCACAAACCAGATCTCGCTCTCACCTCTCCAACCCTCAACGCCTTATCACCTCTCCTCAATGCCTCCTCCGTCGCTCCTTACCACAGGCCACACCTCCGCCGTCGACACTGGATCCCTCATCATCCCACGACGCCGCTGACACCGCCTCTCTCACCACGACTCACTCAGCCTCGATCAAACGCCGCCTCTTCTCTTCTTCTCGTTATCTACCGGCGACAAGACCTTGCCGACGCCGCCGCCATCTTTCTCCATCGCCACGGCCGCCCGCTTCCCGCTATCGCTAATACGGTAATTTTTTTTTATTTTTTATTTTGTTAAAAGTATTTGTTTTATTTATTATTGTGCTAAATATCATATGTGACTGGAGACTATTTAATTTTTAGGCATATTCTCCCCCTGATTCTCCTCTTTTGCGTCTCTTTTTTTATGGGTATCTATGGTTTTTTGAAGACTATTCAATTTTTAGGCTGAGGCGAGTATGAATGCGGTTGTGTTGAAGAAGTTTGTGGCGGAGAATTAGAGACTGGCGGTGGAATGCTTGAATTTGTTGTCGTAATGCAAGAGATTGGACATAGAGTGCTTGTTGTACGACAGGGACCCAGAGGCATTGATGGTTCTACAAGTACTAGGCCCAACAGGTTACTGGTTGCATTCTCTTCCTTCTTCCCCCTTTTCTGTTTTTTATTTTTTATTTTTGCAAGTTTTATGTGCAATTTGGTGTTGATTTCTGGTTTTGTGCATAAAGCATTATAAAATTGAGTAAAACCTTATAAGAGTTTATTCAGAAATGACTCAAATGAGTGAGTGTTTAATCTTTTTTTTTTTTTTGGTAGCACATGCTCTGTTTCTTTACTACAAGCAACTTGTGTTTCCAAGTAATGGACTTCTATATTTTATTTAATGGATATCATTATCTGATAAATGCTTTGAGAGGATCTGGATTTGGATCTGTAAGTTCATATATTTCTGTTTGGATTACATTACATTAATAGTGTCTTAGATTAGCTCTTTGGGCATATAAGTGAATCTTTGGACTTTATGCAGTTGCATTTCATTACTTTTCACCCCAGGTCTATCGCAGTGTTGTTTATGGTAACAAACCCAAGAAATAGGTATGTAACTACTAACTAGTATGCCCTCAGTTTCATTTTGATTTTTGCACTTCACTAACATTTTGGTCTTGCCCCCTTAATTGAATATGTTTTGGAGAGTAGGTAGATATATATATTTGCTAACACCTAGAAGTAGTAGTAGTCCAAAGCCTGTTGTGGCATTTGTTACAAGTTGAGCATGGATTATTGGGTGAGTAAGAAAGCTATAGTAGTTTTTGTTTTTGTCTTGTTTTCTTTCATTGTTTAAATTATAAGAGTGTGGAGTAGGCTCCAAGCCGATTACAATTTGATCGAAATTTAGCTGACCTCAATTTGACTTCAAAACTTCGACCTGATTCATGGTAAATTTTAATATTATCGTTTTCCTTTGTTCTATGTTCCATAATTTTTTTTTTGAATTGGAGTTATAATTATTGATTGTGATGTTTGTAAATTATTGAATGCGAGCTTGCCACAAGGTTGTGGGGAAAATATACGTGTATTGGATGTGTGTGACTGTGAATTTGCATGGTATTTTGTTTTCAATAATTAAGATTTGTTGGATCTCTCGTTTTGATGCTAGCCCAACTACTTTCCTTGGTTCTGATGTAAGTTTCTGCAGATGTGTTAAATTCTTATCTGATATGCTTCTTGGTTGGCTTGCCAGCACTCCATTAATTCTTTCTTTTGTTTACAGGCAACTCTTGCTGATTCTTTCTCAGAAGATATTCTCGTGAGTCCAGCACCTTATTTCTTTTAATTGCACTGCTTATTTGGACCTTGCATTTCCCTCTTTCCCCCTTTACATATTTCCCTGATGATAGAGTAGAGACATAGAGTTGAATATTGAGAGTTCTATAAAGAATTGCCAAACACACTTAGCTTAATGATAAATTTCTTTCTTCTAGTGCTTTTGATCTTAGCTTGTTCTTCTTATTTGTTATTATTATTATGCATGTATGGTGACCTCGAGTGATAATGGTGCTGTAATTTTCTAAGTTTTTTGCTCTGTGGTTTCTTGCTTGGAAAAACAGAGAATCATTGTGAAGAGACAAAGACATATGGTACGAATAAGAGACAAAGACATATGATAATATGTAGGTTTGAGTAATGCAGGTTTATAAAACTTGAATTACTTTGAGTAATGCAGGTTTTGTGTCTACTAAGGCATTATTTGCTATACATAGCAATTCTATTGTTTTTACTTAAGAGATGAAAACCTTTCCTTTGCATAACGAACATTTTTTAAAAACTTTTTTAAGCATAAGATTTTGGTTTTATTTATCAAATTGTTGAAACAGTGATTTCTTCTTATCTTGTTGGTAGTATTTCTCTGAACTTTTATAAGAATTAACTGTTGGCAGGTATACACTAAATATATGGGGATGTTGGGGGCCAAAAAACCATAAGGTCCTACTGGAGGAACTACTTCGAACAAACTGACGGTTTGGTGTGGGTTGTGGATAGTTCTAACCTTAGAAGGCTAGATGACTGCAGATATGAATTGCATAATCTTTTGAAAGAAGAGGTATACATATTCTTGGAGCTATCAATTTCTGCCTAGTGTAGTTGTGCATGCATATACACACACTAATAGTTGCAATCTATAACAATATATATGGTGTGCTTTTTGTTTTAGTCTCCTCTCTTCTTCATTTTTCCTTTGGAATGTTTGGTTTCGCCCTAAATTTGAGCTGTGTTTGTTTTTATAGATTTAATGGACTCCTTTCAGTGTGAGGGTTTCATGCTATATTGTTCCAGGGAAAAATTTCCATGCCAAGGTTGTTATAAATTGGCGCTATCAAAGAAAGCCAGATCAAAACATTTAAAGGTAAGACAAATAATGTAGGTGCAAGTATTTGTGGAGTGTTATTTTGTTCAATAGACTTTATTAATCAGTTCTTTCTTAGGTCATTATGCAAATGTTTTCTCCTTTCAGCTTCAACCACAAATTTACTGATAATAGATCATTATCTTAATAGGTCCCAGACTTTGATGTGGTAACTGAATCTCATCGTAACATACACTATAGCCATGCCAAAAGATATGGTGGGGGGCATTAGAAAAAGCTTGGAGACATTGCAATGTAGCTTTTCAAGTTCATTCAGTTATTAGCTCATATAAATATCAAAGACAGAACGTTAGAAGGTATACTCATCAAGGATGGATTAAAGCCATAGCCATCAGCATGTATGAGCTTGCGTATTGATAATATTGTATTTATAATATAATATGGTGATAATATTGTGTTTTGATGGTTTGTTGATAAAATTGTGTTGATGGTTAATATTATGTTGATATGTAGTGAATGAATTATGTATAGGATTTTAAAAGAATTAGGAAATTTAAATATAATAATGTTTTTTTTTTGTTTTTTTTTTTAAAATTCGCTACCCTTCTGTTTAAAGAAGGGTAGCGGATGCTTTAAAAATAAAGAAAATTTGCTACCCTTCTATAATAGAAGGGTAGCGGATGCTTAACTTTCCGCTACCCTTGTTAAAGGGTAGCGGAAAGGTCAAGGTTTTCAGCGACCCTGGTATCCACTACCCTTGTACAAGGGTAGCGGATAACCATTTACAAGGGTAGCGGATGTGCAAATCTGTACTAGTGAATAAAATTAGCAACTCTTTCTATATTTCTTTTTCGCCACCAAGATAATGCATACCCCTTAAAAGATGTAGCAACTATCCTAATTTTTGTAAGATCAGAATATTGCTTTAAATAAAAAAGAGTTTCAACAACATTCTCCCATTCTATGTATTCGGTGGGTCCTTTCTCACCGGTGAAGTTAGGAATTTCATGTTTAATGTTTCTCAACTCCGCATTACGCTGCTGGATCCTTTGACATATAGGATCCACTCTTCCTACTGGTGGCAGGTGTCGCTCATCATTGTGTGGTGGTTGCACTTGCTGTGAGCGTTGCTCCAAATTATTCATTCGTTTGAGTAACCTGTCTATCTTTTGTTCTAATGTCTGGGGAAAGTTTGGAACTTGATCAGCCATCTATATAGGAAACAAAATATCTAAAAAAAAAAAAAAAACAAGAAGATGTGTGAGTAATCACGTTAGTGAAGCCAAAAAGTTGGCTCGCTCCCTCACTATTCTCAGCTCGCAGGTAAGAGGTGGATTATATGGCTCTGGGGGTGCACTACACACTCTTACAAATACACACTCCACTCGTGTATCGCTCAAGGTGGCAGATACTCTCACAAGCCTTTTTCCAAAAAGGAAAATTCTAGTCCGGAACTCAAGTTGGTATGGATTCAACCTCAAAGTTCAAGAAAACGTACCTTGGAAAACTTCACAAGCCTTTGAGAGTAAGGTGTATCGCGAGGTAGGTAATAAAATTGAGAGCAAGAAGCAAAGAAAAAGGACAATACAAGCAAAGAAACTAAGCAAGATTTGAAAGAAAAAAAGGAAACCAAAGAAGGAAGTATGGCAGAAAGATATGCAAGACCAATATCAAAAGATAGAGACAAATAGAATATAAAAGAGGTTCACGTGTACCACAACCAATTAGGAATCTATCAAGAACTCCTTCCAATCTTATACTTTTCCCCTTCCTTGTCCCTCCAAAATTCTCCTACCAGCCAAATTCTTTCCCCAACCTTATTCTTCTTCTTTATAGCTTTCTCTTTTTTTTTTTTTTTGCTTTTTTTTTTTCAACTTTCTTGATTTTTTTTTGATAAGTAACCTCCAAATAACTACTGTAAATATCAAAAAAAATTTCGGACCAAGAGGATCCACACAACCCCTTCAAAACAGAACCAAGAATTTCAAGAATCACTCAGAAAAACAGAAACGCTGCCCTTACTTCGAAGATCAATATCTCACCCGTAAGGAATTAGAAAGTGAATAATATATCAATAGAACGCCCCAGAAGAGATCTAAAACATATCAAAATATCAGATAAAACTAACCGGTGGATCTTGAGATATAGGTCATTCTTTGAAACTGGTCACAGAACGCGGAAATCTGGACAGGGTGTGATTGCGACGTGATTGCGCGTAAATGAGCTTTGGATATAGGTAAGGGTGATATGGGGTTGTTTTCCTGACAGAATGTGTGATAATATGGTGCTTAGGAGGAGTGAGGTCTCGTTGATATTGGATGGTAAAAAAGGAAAACGTTTTCGGGATTGTTTTTCAAGAAACTGGACAACATGTATCAAGATTCAAGAACACAATCAAGAATGCAAAGGAAAATTTTTTGGGGGTTTTTAATGAATAAGACACGAATAAAAGTAGTATGTAAGATAAGAACGAGATAAACCTAGGGAACCAAAGAAACCAAATTTCTAATGATAATGAGATAAACCTAGGCTCTGAATACCAAATTGATATGAACCTAGTCCAAGGCTCAAATAAAGATGGAATATTGTCCCAAGAATGCTCTCAATGTGAAGATAGAGATGGATCAAAATACCTTAAACCTCACGAGAAACCCTTTGTCTCGAATCCTCAAAGACTTGGAAGAATCCCATGTAGCTTCAAGTACCTCGATGTTGCAATCTTCAATCAACTAGAGTCGGATCTAGTTTCCTTCGATTAAAGAATGAGTCCACGAACCTAAATCTAAGGTTGAAAAAAGTAAGATTGATTCGATTCCACGAATCAATTTGCTAGTCGAGTCCACGACTAGCCACTAATTGAGTCCACAATTAGCCATAAGGTTTCTTACACAAGTGTAAAGAAAAACTTGAGAATTTTATTGAATTAAAGCCTCCTCAAAACTGATATGGATGTGCCCTATTTATAGGTATAGGGCAACATTGTAATCTAAATACAATGGGAAAAAGAGTCCTAAACCTAATCTAGAAAACAAGTAAATAGAGTTTTATTTAGAAAAGGATTTAAGGAATCCTTTCTAAATACAACTAGTGTTTTCTCTTTAATTCTAAACAATTTAAAATAAATGATGACCACAAATAATAAAGTTGATTTGGGCCTCGGATCTTGTGATTGGCCCAATTTGTAATCTTAATGGATCTTCATTATGTTGGGCCGCATCAATATATATATATATATATATATATATATATATATATATAGGGAAGGGATCAGGTGCATTTGTTGCTTCCCATGCGGATGTGCGGTGGATTAATGTGCGTGAGGTTTATACTTAAGTGTGCGTGAGATTTGTACTCAATGTGCCTGAGATTTGTACTTAATGTGCATCATGTTAATATGTGTGAGTTTTGTACTTAATGTGCCTGCGTATTGTGTTTAATGTGCGTGAGATTTGTGCTTAATGTGCGTGAGTATTTCACAATTACGAGCTCAGAAGGAAGCAGAACAGAAACTCACGCACATTGACGCCCAAGCTTCTTGTTACTTCTTTCTTCAATTTGGCCATGGATTCTGGGTTATCAGCTACCTTCAATGCAGTTGAATGTTTATATAAATGACGCACGCACAGTAAAATTTGCACAGCAGCAAAGTGTGGATTTCTGTTGTATTATTCCCATAATTCTTAACCACCATAGCTCGCCTCCGCATCATCATCATCAAGGAGGGGGCAAATGGCTACTGGGGATAGGGAAGAAGCTGACGTCAATATTTTCTGCTGCATTTTACACATTCACGCACATTAAGTACAAATCTCTAGCATATTAAACGCAACACTCACGCACATTGAGTACAAATCTCACGCACATTAATCCACCGCACACCCGCACGGGAAGCATTCAACCGCATGGGAACCTTTCACTATATATATATATATATATATATATATATATATATATATATATATATATATATATATATATATATATATATATATATATATATATATATCCAAGGTTATCTTACATTACCTAACAAAATGAAGGGAATCACATTCCCTTCAAAATCCTATGTGGAGGGAATGTTGCATTCCCTGGGAATGTTATATTCCTTCAGAGAATATGAACCAAACATAGGAATGTAAGCTCGGGAATGTCACATTCCCTTGTTTATGTAATATAACCTGAACCAAACGCCCCCTTAAAGTAAAAGAGCATGCTTAGCATTTCATGATTTAAAGTGCATCATTGGCTCTAAGTAAGCCTAAGTATTCTTTCAAAACCATATATCTATTTTGGAAAATCATTATCTAGTTGCATTGAGAAGTTGCATGATACTTGATTTCCAATTTGTGGGAAAAGAGAAGTTGTTGAGAAACTATGTGAATGAGCTTGCATATGTTTATTTGTTTCATGAGAAAGAGATGCATGAGCTATATCTATATGTATCTAGGGTGAGTAAACCATGGTTTTTGGAGGCCCGTTACGACTATGTCCTTTCAGAAGAAAAGAGAAAAGAAAGAAAGAAACGGACATTGCGATCCGATGTGAAGTAATGAGGCGTATTCCCATATTACTAGGTTGGATACTACCCGCCGGGCTTGGAATCCCGGTCAGGAGGTGTAGACACTCACAAGTACAATACCTGATTCCATAGAGTTTGAGAAAAGAACCAAGAGAGTGGTTCTGTGGGCGAGATAAGTATTAGGTCGGCTAGATGCCGAGCCCGGATAGGTCCGTTCACATTGTGGTGAAGTTCCTACCTCGCTCACGAGTAAACAAAGAAAGAAAGAAAGAAAGCGAGTCAAGAGACTCAAGTGAAAGAAGAGAAAATCGAGTCACTCAAAGAAACCTCCACAGAAAAAGTGTTCCTTCTTACAAAAGAGAGTATATATATATATATATATATATATATATATATATATATATATATATATATATACTTATACTTAAAGCATCATGATCATATTGTTCCATGATTATGATTTGCACGTTTTGCATGAAAGTATGAGAAGAAGTATGACTTTATATTGTTGTTTATCGATCAACTTGTTAGCACAATTTTTCTTGTTTGAGTTTAAGTACTTCTATATCTAACTGTTTGAGTTTGAGTAGAGTATTTCGCCATGAACAGATATTTCTGTGAAAGCTTGAGACTGTTGATGAGTTAAATGTTCGGAAAGCATGCCTATTTGATAATTAGGATTGCAAGCATATAGAATTATTGTTGAGTATGTTTGAGTTGTTGTTTAAAGTGATTGAGAATACTTGATCTAAGTGTATG